AAAAAAAAAAAAAAAAAAAAAAAAAAAAAAAAAAAAAAAAAAAAAAAAAAAAGAAGTGACCTGACCATTGCTTCTGTGCAAGGCAAAAGGAGGAGCGACCATTGCTTCTGTGCAAGGCAAAAGGAGAGCGACCTTCTGTGCAAGGCAAAAGGAGGAGCGACCTTCTGTGCTGTACTTCGTCCGAAACATGCAAGGAGGTGTCTTAATCTAGGAAGACAACCCAGTCCGAAGAGTTTTATATTAAACCAAATAGCTAATATAAAAAGGCTAACTTTTCTATATTAGAAAAGGTTAAATGTTAGTTTATTATTAGGTAGCTAAAGAATAAAAGAATCAAACTCTTATAACTATTTGGCTTAATAAATATAATTAGGTTAAATTTGCTTTACCTAGTATTAGTGTAAATATACCTGCCTCTACGAAGTAGGCATGCCTACTTCGTAGACCATCACAAATTGTGAGGTATCACTTATACTAGCCATTTATGGTTATTGCTGGTTACTCTTGCCTTGCAGCCAACCATAGGTAACCTGGGTTATAAGGCTAAAACTTCACGACAATTACATAAACTAAGGCTAGTTTATTACAATATACGGCTCTATCTCTTATTCAAGACTTGAACTTGAATTTGAATATTATAACTATTCCGCTTTATCATTAAGCTAATAAGAATATTAATGTGCTTTAATATAATAGCAATATTAACCACAAACAAACATTTAATAAAATACCTAAGCTTTGTATCAAAAGCTATTGGGCTTTTATTAAATACTCGCAGGTAATAAAATAGCTTATTTCTTATCTTCTCACACTTTGTCTAAACAGGCTTTTAAGCAAGCAAGCAAGCAAGCCAGCCAGCCAGCCAGCAAGCAAGCAAGCAAGCAAGCTTTTATTAAGACGATCTAATCCAAAATTTCATATAATCCTAATTAGGTTTTTTCTCTTCGCTTGCAAGCAGAGGTAGTTATTTTTCTATATAGTAAACATTATATTAATAAAAATTTATCGTTTTTCGGTAAATACTAAACAATAAAAAAAAAATCATGGCTACCTCTGCTTGCAAGCAAGCAGAGGTAGCGAAGATATATTATTATCCTCAATTATAAGTTAGGAAACTATTAAGCCGGTTCCTGTCATAGTTATTAATCTATATTAAAGCATAACATCGGGATTGCAAGTTCGCGTATATCTTATACTGTATTTAATTAACTTAAATTAATTTAATTTAATACATTTAGCTATATATATAGTAAGATATCCCTAATTTTCTATTAAATACCCTAGCTTTTACTAAACACACATTCTTTATATGTTTTAGCTTAATATGCGCCGGACTTTCCTATACTACATCAAAATATAGTATTTTACTGTTAGTTTCACCAACTGCCATAATAATAATAATAATTATAATAATAATAACAATAATAATAATAATAATTATAATAAGAATAATAAGAAGAATAATAATTTATAAAGACTTACTTATTTTTAATATTTCTTAAATAGTTTAATTAGAAACATGAAGTATTAAGAGACACGGGGGACTCGAACCCCATATTTAAGATCTGCAATCCGAACGTAGACCAACTACAACACATCTCGCTTAATTAAGGTACTTCATATGGATTAGTGTAAATCTAAAGCATATTTAATATAGCTACTTGTCAATACTACAAATACTTGGGCCTGTATGAAAGCAATACCCAGTTCTAAACCTGAAAATGCGATAATAAACGCTAAAGGTATTAGTCCTAAGAAAAANNCTACTTGTCAATACTACAAATACTTGGGCCTGTATGAAAGCAATACCCAGTTCTAAACCTGAAAATGCGATAATAAACGCTAAAGGTATTAGTCCTAAGAAAAAAAAAATAAAACCAGATGTCATAATATTGTAAGTAAAACCAGCCAGAAGACACACCCCTCAAGGAAGAGAGACTGGGGAGGGGAGGGATGTTCTCAAGGAAGACTGNAAAAAAAAATAAAACCAGATGTCATAATATTGTAAGTAAAACCAGCCAGAAGACACACCCCTCAAGGAAGAGAGACTGGGGAGGGGAGGGATGTTCTCAAGGAAGACTGGGATGTCTTCCTAGATTAAGACACTCCCCTACTTCTTTGCTATACTTTCTTTGGCAGAGCCGACCATTGCTTCTGTGCAAGGCAAAAGGAGGAAGCAGTAGTATAGCAAAGAAGTATGCGACCTTCGGAGAGAAGTATGGTCAGGTACGATGCACAACAATTTAAACAGAAGTACCTTGTATTAGTTTAATACAGCAAAGAATAAAAGATTCGAACTTTTATGGCTATTTGGCTTAATAATTATTATTAGGTTAAATTTGCTTTACCTTTAAGCTAATTCTTTTATAATTACCCTAAGTAGGGTAATTATACCCGGTGCATGACTGGGATGTCTTCCTAGATTAAGACACCTCCTTGCATGTTTCGGACGAAGTACAGCACAGAAGGTCGCTCTCCTTTTGCCTTGCACAGAAGCAATGGTCGCTCCGAAGGTCACATACTACTGTTTCCTCCTTTTGCCTTGCACAGAAGCAATGGTCGGCTCTGCCAAAGAAAGTATAGCAAAGAAGTATGGTCATGGCACCGAAATTGTGAGGGAGGCATGCAGTGTATCTAGTTTATTTCACTTACAGTAAACAATTTAGATGTTTGCTAGTTATCAAACCTAGTTATCGTTAATAAAACGGGTTTCTCAGATTCAAGTAACTCGTCCCCCTCTTTTTGTTCACTAACCTTTATTTCCTCTTTTAATATATCAAGGACTCTTTCCGCATATAGTTTAAAACCCAGGAAATAATTTTTTAAATCAAAAGCTTTATCATTATGATATTCTAGATATCCACTATGATCAAACGGTGAATCATCTATATAATCCCCAGTTTGTGGTAGATTATAAAAGGAAGACGCTGTATATGCGTCATTAGTATGAAAAAACATTGAGAAACTTAACCTATATGTATACGATTTATCTAAATTATTCAAAACATTAACTAAAGAAGTAATAAATTCATCGTTGTTATTAATAAGCCGTGGTGTACCCTCAACATTATTAGAAAAAATAGATGGTAATAAATAATTATTTTGTTTATATCTATCAAATAGATTGTTTATATTTACATCATCATTACCATTTTTTCCCCCCATCGTCGCCGAAGCAGCTAAAGATCCCTTACTAGAAAAAGCTCTATTGTTTGGTTTAGTAACCAAATTATTAGCAGAAAAGATACTTTTATTAAATGACCCCCGAGGCAAGTCATACGTAAAAAGACCCAAACTCCTAGTAGCATTCTTATTTAAGGTAGAATGCTCAAGACTCCTTGGTAAAAAGTTCTCATAAGAAAAAGCTCTGATTTGTCTTATGGTTTGTTTGTATTGTTTTATCATATTTATCATCTTTATCATTATTTTTATCATTATTTAGTGTAAATCTAAAGCATCTTTAATATAACTACTTGTCAATACTACAAATACTTGGGCCTGTATGAAAGCAATACCCAGTTCTAAACCTGAAAATGCGATAATAAACGCTAAAGGTATTAGTCCTAAGA